GACCCTACTCTTCATGAAGCTTATAGTCTAGTAGAGAAGACAAACATTTCATGAAAGCTTTAAAGCAAGGCATTTCATCAGAGGCTCTGCCTCTGCGACCAGCAGCATTGAAGCTGAGATCTGAAGCCAGGCCGGAGATAACAATGGCCTGAACTAAGGTGCACAGGTGGAGAGGAGCTAAGGGAATGCACTCAAGGAATTGATGAGGTAATGCCCTCAGGACTTGAAGATAGATTGAACTGAGAGGGGTGGAGAGTAGGAAAGACATGTAGGAGAGAGAGGAATCAAAGTCTCAACAATTGTCTTATAGGTATAATTGTGTGGTAGTAAGCCAAACCAGAGTAGTCCACTCAGAACACATGTTCTGTCTCAATTACCTTATTTCTCTGTTTGTGTGTATTGGGGGAGGAGGGGCAAGAGGTTAATCCTCATCCCTCACCCAAAGATATTTTTCTATTGATTTTTAGTGAAAGTGGAGAGAGAGGGAAAGACAGAGAGAAATGTCAATGAATGCCCAGGAGGAATCTGCAACTGAGGTATGTATCCTTGACTGGAATAGAACCCACGACCCCACGTTCTATCCAAGCCAAACCAACTAGGGCTTAGTTCTTTATTTGGATGACAGACACTCCTCCGCCCCCTGCAGTGAGGAAGATGTAACACACCTTGCAGTTAACAGGCATGCTCTCTCTTTATTTCATACATAGACAAATCATACTTTATAAAAAAGGATTATTTATACTTTCCTCAGCCTCATCTTACCCTTTGTGAGGGCATGCATAGAAATGAAGACCCATCCTCTAAAGAAGTATGTTTTCCTAACATTTTTCGTTATCATTAAAATTGTCTTATTTTACTTCTCGGGCACTCTGTGTTCTAATGTTAGTTTGAATAATTACCAGAAATCATAGAAATATGCCACTTTGAAAGTCCAATGAACAGACTCTTAAAAACTATTTAGTCCCTCCATAATCATGCTCATAGCACCATAAAGGCTAAAGTTGATAAGAAGCCTTGAAGATTAGCTCTACGTGACCAGAAAGGGATTGGCTGAAGGAAAAGATTGGCAGTGACCCCACAAAGCACTCTTATTAACAGGATAGAGTGTCATTTTATCTGAGCATGGGTAGAAGTCCTACAGATCAGATGAGGAAGTAGATAATATAAAGTAAAAGTGTGACATCTGGCACACTGACAACTCCATTTTCTCTAAAAACAAACAAAAAGTCATTGTTATAATGGCTAGATGATGTCTGCTGTCCATTCTAGTCATGTCATTATAAGAATCACCTTATTTGTAAGAACCCCTCAAAACAGGTGTCCCCACTCCATGTGTATCTTTCCCCATCACTTAAGGCAGTAATTTGAACACTGTTTTGAGGTATTCTTACAAATAAGGTGATTGTGAAGCAGAAAACCTTGAAATTTGGTTCTCTAACCTTCCCAACTTATCCTACCACCATCCTTCCAACTCTTTCCTACCCATCCACCCTCCAGAGATCCCCTCTTTTCGCACCACTGGTCAGAAGGGCCACCTGCCTCCGAGAATGTGCTAGGGCAGAAGTCTCCCTCCTCTGCTTCCAGCCTGATCAAGTGTGAGAGCCTAGGTCACATGTGTCAAACACAAGGCCCGCGGGCCAAATCCGTCCCGCCAGGCCTTGCAATGTGGCCCGCACCGTGCTGTCATCACTGCACTCCTCTGCATTTCCATCACAATGACAGTTTATGACTGTTCAGTAAACCATTCGGCCCGCGATTTAGGCTGGATTTTAGATTTTGGCCCCTTCTCTGATTGAGTTCGACACCCCTAGCCTAGGTTCACCTTCCCACCTAGAATGCCTAGGCCACTGGACAAAACACATGAAATGGGTTTTCAGACACTGGAAAATAGGCAAGTGGCAGTGATCCCTGCCCTGGTTTACCACCTAGAAAGAGTTCCTGGCCGCAGCATAGGGCAGGGGAAGCCAGCAGACCTCAGAGGTCCTCCTGGGTTCCAGAGACAGCGCTGGGAACTCAGGGAAGCAGGCGGCTGGAGGAGGATGCACAGAGCAGAACAGCGGGGCCGGAGGCTTCACTGAGAGCAAGTTCTGGGCCTCTGCAGGGGCTCCCTCTAGAGGGGCTTCCGCTGGGGACTGGACAGCTCCTATCTGTGAGCAGGATGCACACCAGTGCCAGGGAAAGACCCACAGGTAAGAAGAGGAACGATTCTCAGGTCACCCGGGGCTAGAATTAGTTCACAGAGAAACGACAGCATGTCTCAATGCTGCTGGGAATTACCCAATACAGAGGGAACAACTGATGTAGACAAGGAAGGAGGAATCCCTGTGGAGGCAAGAAGGTGAGTTCCAGGGCACAAACAGGGCCCAGGCTGGAGAGAATTGTGTTACTGGCTATAAGAGGTGGGTGGAGATGCTGATGGGTGGGTTGACATGGTGGTGGGGACTCTGTGTAAGTTTTCTTCTGAAGCATGAGCATCAGCTGAGAAGGAGGATAAGGGAAGAGACGCTAAGGATGTGAGGAAAGAAGAGAGTAAAGCTGTAAAAAGTACTAGTGTACCAGGGGAGTTTATATCCTTTGATGAGTAGCCACACTGAGGGTCTATTTGGTAATGAACTTGAAGTGAGGACTTCCAGTGTGGTTGTATTTTTTCCAGCCACTCTCAGCTGCACAAGTGCAAGTGTAGGGTAGGTAGGATGGATTGGATTTCTCCTGGGTCATGGATTTGCTTAGTTCGATAAAGAAACAGAAGGGCAAGCAAATCATCACCATTGACTTGGATTGAATGTAGTCTTTGTTTTTCCCCCCACGAATTACTATTAAGCCAGTTCCTCTCTCCACTGTATTTGTGTGACTGATTCCTTTGAACCTAACGCTGTCCACTCAGTCCATGTGTTTGTATCTCATCACCCCTTATAACAGCTATCCTTCCCACTTTGAATCAGTGAACCCAATCTCTTCTTTCAGCACTACTAGAAATATGGAAGAGGACAAAGTCAAGGGCAGAGTCTATTGGTTCATTTCTAAAGATTTCTTGTCAAAGTAATATTAATCCATTATACAGGGTAAATATATTTAATTATCTTTAAATTTAATACTCTATCATGATCATTAGATCATTAGTGATGAGTCTCTCTCCCTCTCTCTCTCTCTCTGCAATGACATCAAGATAGTTTATTAAATGTCCTTGCTAAAAGCAAGATACTCTATACTGTGTCTACAGAGTTTCCCAATTTATTCAGTCTAATTCAAAAAGTTTTTTTAATTATCAAGTTAGTTTGATATAATTTGTTAAACTCATATTGTTATTAACAATGTTTTGGATTTTTTTCTAAGTGCTTTAAATCAAGATAGCATTCTTTTGGACAGGCCAGTTATATTCTCTAAGATGGGAGACAGTGGAATTATGATAGTTGATGGCCAAAATATCTGACTCTGGGCCAACCAAGCACCTCTTACCTCCATGCTGGTTTGAATTTAGTACAAGACTCACTCAAGTTACCCAAGTGGCAGGCGTCTAGGTATAAGCAACACTAAAAGTTGCTTACCCAGTTCTTCTCATCTTCCTTATTAACTAGATTCCCTGAACAGCAATATGCTAAGCTAGGAAAAGAAGAAAAAAGAAAGGGAGGAAGAAAAATAGGAAGGAAGAAAGGAAGGCATTATTTCCTACTCTTTTTTGCTGCCAGGAGCCCATGTTACTATTCAAGCCAATGAGACAAAGCAGAAGCTCTGAATTTCTAGTACTTAAATAGAAAAAACACTTCTTTTCATGATTTCCTTCTTCTGCCACGGAATGGATATGATGCTGGAGGCCATGAGAGGCAATCAGAAGGATGAAAGCTATGTGTTAAGGCTGGTGATGAGGAAAACCCCAGGAGCCTGGTATGCCATGCTGTATATTGCCGCTCCGTCCCTGACACGCCTGCCTGAAAGCTTCTTGTTCTGTAAAAACTACAAACCCCCTTTGGGCTAAGTCCCCTTTGGGCAGAACTCCTGTTCCATGCAGCAGCACTTATACATATCTCCGTGGATAGAATCTGGAGAGCTTCCAGTCACCAGAAACTAGCGGCTCTCTCCATCTCTCCCCCTCTCCCAATTGATACATGGTCTGCTTCCCATCGTATATTTTTTTTCTGAACATTTATTTATTTTATTTTCTCTCATTACTTTCTTCCTTATGTGATCATTATATCTGTTCTCTAAGCCAAACCTTCTACTCACTAGTAATTTTTGCTATCTTGTAACTTTAGTTTACCCATAATCCACCATGGCCTGTTCCACATATCTTGATATCATAACTTTTAACTTTGAGTTTCCATGAAAATTTTGTCATTTTTAGTCATTCTGTGTTCTGGAAAGGAGTATGACTGTCCCATTTTGTTTGAGTCACGGGAAAACCTGTTGATTGGCTACCCCTGGCTCTGTGTCCACCGCTAACCCAGGTAGTTATGGATGGAGGGGCAGATGGGTTTAGGGATAGGTAGGAGTGCTGACTCTCTAAGGCCCTTCTTGACAGGATGATAGAAAGTCAGGTCTGGCAGAAGGACATGGCAAGCATCAGGAGAACCTTAGGTCTGATACATTGTGCCAACAGAAATCATGGCCACCTTTGAGAACCAAACCTAGTCAAAGACTCATTTTAAATTATTCACATTTCATAAAATATAACCTTATCAACTATTTAAGCTGGGAAATCCCAGGACTCCAGTCTTAATCCCAGTTTTTCTATTAACACACTATGTGAAAGTTTGAAGATCTCATTGTACCTTACTTTCTTCATCCGTAAAAATAAGGAACTCATATCTATTACCTCTTGAGGTTGATAGAGGAACAATAAAATTGATTTGCAAAGTGTTTTATGGCCATAAAGTACTATGCTAAATATGGCCTGTGTTTAAATAACCTGATTTGTAATAAAGAGAGCTATTTGGCTCAGAGGATGGAACTGTGGACTGAGAGCTATTTGGCTCAGAGTCGGTCTGTGGACTGAGAGGTCACAGGTTCGATTCCGGTAAAGGGCATGTACCTTGGTTGGGGACGCATCTCCACTGGGGGGTGTACAGGCGGCAGCTGGTTGATGTTTCTCTCTCATCGATGTTTCTGGCTTTCTATCCCTCTCCCTTCCTCTCTGTAGAAAATCAATAAAATATATATGTTTTTTAAAAAAAGAAAAGAAAATGTGCTTTTCTCAACAGGGGTCTATGAGATAGCCCTCAGACCATGAATATTTATCTATAGACATACAACTGTGGAAATTTTTTACATTCTTTGGGTTCAGCAAAAGAAAGAAAATCTGGGTTGATTAAGCAGTGTTGGGGGATAGAGAGGGGTTAATACAGTTTCCCTATCAACTGTCTAGGATCACCTAAAAGCTTCCACCAATTAATCACCATGTAGAACTCTGTGAGTCAGATCTCAGAGTTCTCTCACTGGAAGAGTGAAGGGAAACCTTCAGGCCATTGGAACTCAGCCAAAGTGGTTGATATAATGGAAAGGTGAGGAGGAGCTGGGCTAGGCACTGACTTTCTCCCATCTTTTGGTCACGCCTGAGAATATCACTGCACTCAGAATATCAGAATTCCATTGATAAGCATAACTCTGTTTTGTTCCTTATGTCTCTCCCTCAACACCCATACCCAGCAACAGCTCCCTCAGTCATAATCCCCCTCCTTCAGAAATTTTAGTAGCTGCCAGTACCCCAAAATCCAAATACAGAAAGTAAGAAGTCACTATAGCAATTGCCATATGCTAATGCAATGTTCTGCTTACTTGCTCTTGACCCAAACTTCCCCTTTTCCCCACACAATGAGCTCATTGAGAGAATGGTGTCTTTGTTACCCATTCTTAAATCCTCAACATCTAGAAGAGTATTGGGAAGGTGGTTGGCACTCAAATGAATCTTGAATGAATTAACTAAATTGACAAGCCTACCTTGGATCCATGCAATCACAAAGTCTAGCCTCAGAATCCCACACACACTATTCTGGCCATGTAGTTCCCAAACACAGCATGTTTACTGCATGCTTGGGATTGGCTGCTTTGCCCAATTCAAACATTATTTCTGATACTTAGAACATTGCTACTTTCACAGCCAGAACTGTGCTCTGTACTGTATGAATTAGAACTTTTAGGACAAGAAAGAAAACAATACTAAGAAGACTTTTATTTCCTGAACTTTACCACTTTTAAGACAAGAAAGAAAAAATACTAAGAAGACTTAGTATTTCCTGAACGCCCAATAGCATGTGTTACTAGTGCCTTTGGCACAGGAGTAACAACACACCTATTCCTAAGGGTACCAATGCAGTAGCTGAGTTCTGTTTTGTCTTTTTATCTACAGGCATCAATTTGTGTTTTCTCTGGTTCTCTCATGAACTCCCTAAGATTTTACAATTTAAACTGTGTTTTCTGTTCTTTTCTAATTCTCCAAAGTACTCATGGAGTGCTTGGCACGTGAAGGATTGCTAATAAACCATGACAGAATCGTAGGTGGAACAACCCCAGGCAAGCATTAATCACTAGAATCTCATGAGTCCTGAAAGTAGTCAGTGTCTAAAACAAAGAACCAAAGCCACTCTGGCCACGTCAGTACTCAGGAATAACTAAACATTTCATTTCTGCAGTCACTGAGTTGTTGTTTTTTTACATCATTTTCAAAAGCAAGTAAACATACACTGATCTTAATCTCTCATTTTGTGACCCACTGGTAAATAACAAACAGTAATCACCATTAAAGTAAGCTCAGTGCTTAATAACAGATGACATAAGAGCATTCATTCTGTAGGTAGGCAAAAAGAAACTGAAGCTGTGGGAAATGTAACTGAATTCTGTGAACACCTATTATTAGCGTTAAGTGAGGTTTCGGTGGAGACTTTTGCACTCAAACTCCTGAGATATCCATCTCTGCCTTTCAGGCCTTCTTGTGGTTACTATGAATGAGTAAAATCAAAAGCAAGTGAGTGGGGAAAATAAAAATTAGGAACTCTAATCCTTGTACTGTGATTTGATATGATCAGGACCTAGGAGGAAGGATTCAATTTTCAGCAGCTCTACTCTGTCCCTGCAGCCTGCCAAGTGTTCCAGCTTGGCCTTCATCGGCAGCCATCCTTGTTTACTGTGTGACAGACAGCTGTTCCTTCCCTTCCCTCCTGGCTCCCTGCCATCATTCCTTCACCTCTCACACCATTCCTGGGGCAAGAGGGGGCACTTGTGGAAACTGCGGCCCAGCCTCAGCAGGAGTGTTTGGCTGGAAGGCTCAATATGGCACCAAGATTGGTCACCAGAGGGTCTCCCAGGGACAGATAACAAAGCCGGCAGAAAATTCCCTACTACCTAAGACTGCCAAGACATAAAGCTTACCTACTTGAACTTATGTCATATTTGGCTCTGGTTTAAGCTGTTACCGCTTTCCCTTCACCTGCTGGGCTCTTTTTGAAACAGAGACACCAGCAGAGGGAGCTCAGTGCAGCTCATGATTGAGATGTCCCTGCAAGAGCACAGAAATCACTCCTGGGAACAGACGCTGTTGTGCTAGCACATGACTGAAGTTAAGTGTGTAATTGTCCAGGCCTCGTCGTCAGGCTCAGCAGTCTCAACACTACATTTTAATGTAATATTTGAAACTAGAGGCTCATTGCACAATCTTCATGCAAGAATAGGCCCCTGGCTTCACTCCCAGCTGCCTGAAAGCCAGCAAGTCCCTGCTCCCCACCCCAGCCCCCTGGGAGCCAGCGAATCCTGTCTGGAGCACCACTCTAGTACCTCCCTAGGCTTCACACTGCTCTGTGCCTACATAAGCAAATTAACCTCCATCTTTATTTGGTTGATTTGCATACTCATTCTGATTGGCTGTGAACATAGCGGAGTGATGGTTAATTTACATGTTTCTTTTTTATTGGTAAGATGTTCTTGACAAAAATCATTTGAGGTAGCCTGAAATAAAGTCTATGTGTGTTTGTGTCTATGTGTGTATCCTTCATTGGCATATGTGTGTCTGTGTGTGTATTCTTTGTTGGAATGTGTATGCCATTAAAATTAAGAATAAAAATTAATGCAATAGAAAGAAGAGCAAACACCATGTCTGCTTTCAGTTGTATAGATATAGATGTTTTTCAAGATAGTATTATAGTTTGCTTTAATGTAATTTTTTTTTGTTTGTTTCTGGAAAACAATGATTAAAACCAAGTGGAAAGAATGGTGGAGCCCCAAATACAGAAATTCATCTTTTTCCTTAGAATGACTTGTTTTATAATTTTGAATCATAAAGAGTCTGGTTGGCCATGGCAGGGGTGGGGTAACTTTTTTCTGCCAAGAGCCATTTGGATATTTATAACATCATTTGTGGGCCATACAAAATTATCAACTTGAACATTAGCTTGCTATATTTGGTCAAACATTTAATTAGCTCACCTCTAATGCCTTGGCAGGGCCAGACCAAATGATTCTGCGGACCTCCTACAGGCCAGATGTTCCCCAACCCTGCGATAGATGGACTATGGAGGGGATGCCTGCTGCAGCTGGGCAGTTAGACTCATGATTTCCCTTTTCTTCCCAAATTAGCAATTCTATGGTCTTCATGTGCTGAGCAAATTTCTCTTAAAATGTTTTTCCAAGAATATTGTCAAATTCAAAAGCAGCTGATTCATACAGATGATTCCTATTGCTGTCGGTATCTCTTCTGTTCAAACAGGAAGAGAAGAGTAGGCAGGAGCAATTCCAGGGGACTTGAAAGCAGAGAAACCCTCAGGCAGTGGCTGAGTCTCCATCAGCTGCACATTTGCCATACTGTTATTACATGATTGAGTTGCAGTTTCCATTATAGGACCCATGATCAGAACCTTGTATTTATGCCTGACTTGACATTACAAACTTTAACCAGGAAGAAATAATTCTATAAAAGACTATGAAAATTTATTTTACCAATTTGCCTTAGAGATGAGAAAACTAATAGAAAAACTAAAAGCAGAAAAATGATGTAATATTTCAAGCAATCTTTTTTACCGTGCCTAGTTTTAGTACCACACCATGGGTATGAGGGTCATATTTTCAATTAGGAAAGGAATACATAAATACAGCAATGGACACCCAAAGGGAGTGCAGAACAAGTCCAACTATAAGGACCCCATCACAAAGCATTTTTATGCCAGTGAAACCAGATGAAAATTAAAATATGGGCATCTTTGAAGAATGAAACCAGTTTTATTTTTTTAATGCAACTAACCCAGCAGAAAAAGAGGGACAAAGGAAGGTAATACTGTTGCTAACTGCTAGCCCCAAACCTTTGGGCCGAGCAAGTTGAAACGAAACTGTATGGACTGTTAATGCCTCGGATTATTTTTAGCACCAGCTTCCTCACCCTATAATGAGGCTCCTTAGTATCTATCATAGCATAAGACATGGACAATTACCCATTTCAAAATAATCATGATTCAGCACCTCTGCCACGTGAGATTCTTTAAAAGACATGTTCTAACATCCTGAAGAGTAAGTACTTACATACCAGAGAGTCAAATAATTGATTTTTTTCTCTTCCATTACACAGATGGGGAATCTGAAGCTCAGAAAGATTATTTAACTTACCCAAGTCACACTGTTAGTATTGCCTGCTATAAAATTTGAAACTCCCTTTGATTAAAGCTCATGCTCTTCCCACTGCACCGGACCACCTTTAAACCAGTCTTCCCTGTTGAGTGGAGAGCTCTGTATAAAATTTTTGTAACTAATAAGATGTTCTTAAGTTAAAACAACTAGTGGAGACTCCGATTTCTATTTAAAAACAATAATTACAGCTCTGGCAGGTTTGGCTCAGTGGATAGAGCGTCAGCCTGCAGACTTAAAGATCCCAGGTTTGATTCCGGTCAAGGATCCTTGGTTGTGGACACATCCCTGGTGGGGGGTGTGCAAGAGGCAACTGATTGGTGTTTCTCTCTCATTGATGTTTCTAACTCTTCCTTCCTCTCTGTAAAAAATCAATTAAATATACTTAAAAAAATAAAATAATAAAAACAATAACTACAATATAAAAATCTAAATGTCATAAATTAATGCATTAAAACAGTTGTTCACTTAGCTGTGGAAGCATTTCTATTGGCAGAATGAATGTTTTGAGGCACAAAATAACTACTAATTTTAGTAATGATTTTAGGTAGCTTTGC